CCGAAAAATGAAAATGCTACATTTTGTTTTTAAATCTCATTAGTAATTTCGATTTGAAATTAACGCAACGTATACAATTAAGATCCTTCATAATTAAGTGAAATATTTCCAAAATTCGCCAATAATTAAATGCTATTATGCTGAAACAGAGGAAAACACTCTTTCTTTCTTCATATTTTCTAAATGGTTATAATATCCACATTTGATAAGGCAGACAGGTAAACAATGTTGCGATATTTCGTTTCATTCCACATGTGTGCTGGCGTATGATTTCCTATTAAAGCGTCAGCTCTTCGCCTTTTCACTCTCTGTCTATATTTCTGGCCAATTCTCATTTCGAAACTCTGACTTACTTGTTTACTTTAACAGACTAGGCTAAACAAGCTACGAGGGCTATCTACCTGAACAAGTAGTTAAGAATATCTGTCTAGAAGATTCCTTTGGCTTAGAAGGAGAGATGACATCTTGGAAGAGCTTTTAAGAGAAACTGGATTATTTTAAAGTTGTACCCTTTACATTACATTCAGTTACAGAAAGCCTTCATAGTTGCCACCCGATATAGTGGGAGCTGAATATTGTAGGTATGGGCCCGGGTACGAATCCGGAGAAGACAAGGCCCTTCATAGGAACTGCCCGTCCCTTCATAGGGAGCAACGATGGCCACCTATTAGGTGCTTCCATTATGACATGACCATCACTTCTGGACCCTGTAGTGGTGCAAGGCTAATAAAGCTTATGGCCATTTCAAAAATATCATACAAATTGTATGTTTTTCAAAATTCTGCATCCTTGAACTGCCGTAGCATAATTCTAATTGCCAAAGTTTGAGGTTTTGTGCATTAGTTGGCAGAGTGACTACTCTCGCATGTAGTATATACCTAGTGTTAGTGAGCACGACACTGCCAGTTTGAAAGAGTCTTCATACATCTGCGGCATCATGCAGGCTTACTCTGTATCCGTGTAAATCCTCAAGAAATCCTCTTTTAAATAAAGAGGCATACATCTTCTGCTGTCAAATGTGAATACAATGAAAATTTGTGAACTCAATAATTCTTATGCAGACTTCGCATCTTATTCTCGATCTCTACATTCTTATGTCTTTTCGCTGTTAGGACCTGCACCCCGCTCTCATGCAGATTTGCCTCTATTTCAAGTGCAACCTCTGATTTAACTCCATTTCCTTCAAAACTGGCATATCCCTTTTCTCGTAGAATCTCTTCCGTTGGTCTAGATCTGAGGAAATCATCTGTCCTATCTTGTTCTTCAATATGACCACATTCTCTTAATATTTCACAACTACATGAGCCCCTCGAACTTATTAAGTTTACTAGTCGTTAGCTTGTCTGCGGGTAATAGTAAGCAATTTGCTCATAATACAGTTTTTACTTGATTCTAGCTCATCCGATACTTCGAGTGCATGAATTAACTTTTGAAGAACCTTATGTTTAAATCACTTCTTACTTCCCTGTACACAAAATAGCTTATCTAAGAATGACATGATTTTTCAGCGCAAAAGTAACTTTGTTGATGTTTTATAAGTCATCTGGCGTTTAGCTCACTGCGCAAACGCTGACACTTTAAGTACGGGCACCCCAGTTTCTTGTGATATTTCTTGACAAGAATTATTTGATTTGTATTTTTAATCACGCGCTCAACAATATTAGAATAGGATCTGTACACTATCGTATTCACACACTTTTGAGTCAAAGTGTGCGTACTTCTTTTCAAATAAATTATTAATAAATTGCGGTCCATTATCTGAGATTATTTTGAGTGGGGTTCTGAACTTTAAAGTGTTCGTTTTTTAAAATGCGTCCTGTGATTGAATTTGCTAACGCTAGACACACTGGTATTATTCACACCATTTTAAAAAATGGCCTACCATCACTAACAAAAATGTACTTTAGTAACCTGGCTTTTAGGGTAAAGGACTTAATAAATGTATTCCGGGAATTTCATTTGGTAATCTTGATCTTATACGATTTAAGAAGCAGGCCGGTGCAAAATTTAAGTGTTTACACTTCTGGCATGTAACACAGCTCTGTGTCTCCTCAGCGGAATTAGTTTTAGTTTAGGAAGTCAAATAACTTCCCCAACTCTTTATATTTTCCTCACACCATGTTATTCCAGCAACATTTCTAATCTCAAAATATCTGGAATGATGGCTTTAATTTTAGATTAACATTCTTTCTTTTCTTATAAAATAGAATGCCAATGATATCTTCACAATGCTCGGCTCTATCATGAACTGCTATCTCCTTTATTTTCTAACAATGCTCTGGATTCTTTAAATACGAATAGATTTCTGGATACCTCCGTAACTCTCTAATTAACGTTTCTCTTATGTATAAAACGACGAGTCTTAACATATTACGACCGATTTTATTCTCGACCTCGTCTATCCTATTTCATGAAAGGGCATCTTCAATCTCATTATCTTTCCCAAGTCAATGTCAGAGTTTTAAATCATATTTCTACATCTTCATTGTCCACCTACACTCTAAATTCGAAAGAGTCCTATCCGACTCTAAAGGAGTGATATCCCACCTCCCTCTAATGCCGAAATGGCACCAACCTCGAAGGAGCGATATTTCACTCTAGTAAAAAGCGGTCCCTTTTCACACAAAAGCAGGAGTGACCCTTTCTTCGTTCGCTCTTCTTCGATAGTCAGATATCTCCCGATATTCGGGTGAAACCACACACATTACAAGGAGTTATAATAATAGTCTGCTCACTCCTTGATGGTGCGATTTTTATATAATTATTTTATAGGCAAACTGAAAATTGGTATTTGCTATGTAAACTTTATAGCTGATGTATTGTTTTTAGATATCTGGTTAATATATTATCTCTTGAAAAAAATATTTTACACTACTACTTTTTAACATGCTATTGTGATTTTAATTATCTGATATATACATCTGTTTTAGATTTGCTACCTATGTACTTACTTAAACATTTATTGGCGATGAGATTTTCTTTCCAGATCTAACGAAATATACATATAAAAAAATTACATCCATATTAAAATATTGGAAATTCGGTGTAGTTAACATTCTGAAATACTTAACACACTATCACTTTCTCACAGAATATATTTTATTTTACAGAAACATGGCTTTTGCCTTTATGTGTAGTAAGCAATAAAATAAGAACGTCAATGCAACTTATATATAAAAACTGGATTATGAATCAAAGTAGACCATCACTGAATAAAAAAACACAGTTTAAAGACAATCATATCTTCATCTTCATTGTTTAGACATATAGTTTTTCTTTCCAAATCTAACGAAATATACATATAAAAAATTACATCCATATTAAAATATTGGAAATTCGGTGTAGTTAAAACATTCTGAAATACTTAACACTATCACTTCCTCACAGTACTTCTGATGTGAAATTACTTTGAACTCACAGAATATATTTTATTTTACAGAAACATGGCTTTTTACCTTTATGTGTAGTAAGCAATAAAAATAAGAACGTCAATGCAACTTATTATATAAAAACTGGAATAGCAAGATATTCGCAATGAAAAACTTAACTTTTTGAATAAAAAATAAGGTTTTTCAGGTACTTAAAACTTTGAATAAATATTTCAGATATTTTCAAAATTTGATTTGAGAAATCAAAAAATGCTTAGTTTTCATAAAAGAAATTTTAAAAAAAAATCATTTTAGATGAATCATATATATATATATAGTATATATACATTCTAAATTTTGTATACATATTTTAATTTAAAAAAGCAAATTATGCTTATTCACAAGATTTGGGCACGTAATCATGTAAATTGTAAGCTAAATTTTCCATTAAATAATCATTCTAGTTGGAAAAGTAATTTATTAAAAATAGTTCTTGACAAATTTTATAATGAAAATTTGAATGTGTTAGAACAGCTGATCATATATATATGTGTCAGTAAACCTGTATCATAATCTGATAGATTTAACTTCTTAAAATGCTACTTATAAGTGACTATATTAATACAATTTGTGAATTGATGTTACTAGTAGTTTGTCTACTTGAGCATAATATGCATAAAAAATCGAATAATAAATTTTAATATACATTGAAGTAAGAAACAAATGCGAATTTTAATTTCCCTTACATGAAAACTATTCAGCTTTATTTTTAATGTATGAGATTCAGAAAATAAGTAACCATAAAATACTCTCATGCTATTGTTTTTAGCTTCATATATTGCACAAAATATTGCAAAAGAAATGTTTCTATTTTTTCTTTATTACATAATTATGAAGAGCTTAAATTTATTAAAACTTAAAATTCCCATAAATTATGAAATAAAGTCTAAAATCTTCAGTTAGCTTGTTACGCTTTCTATTTTGAAGAGCTTAGTTTATAGCACGCTATTTTTGAGAAGTTATGCATACAAATTCCTATACATTAATCATTACAGGTGAATAAATGCTTACATATACTTTTAGACTATAACTTATTTTTATATATGCTAATTCCAAGTCTCATTTGGGAAAAATAAAGTAAATTTTAAAGTGAAATAATATGGATTATAGCTCACATGTGTAAGCTAAAAATTCATTTTTCATAATTCTGCTGAAAATTATTATGTATTTCATTTATTGATTAAATCCGAATAGGAATCATTACCATAACTGCAGAATTATAATAATTTCAATGAACAAAGTATTTTAAATATAAGTGAAAACAAGCATTGCATGAAAAACTCTTTATTAGGAAATATATGTACATATATATACATATATAAAAATGGAAAATATGACACTAAAATGACATTAAAAATATGAAATGTAATGCATGTACAAAATGCAATAAATTCAGACTCGAACATGTATTTAAAGAGTCCACACAAGCTCTAGGAGTGCTGACATTATACAAAAGGCTTGCCACAAAATTATAAAAATTTGTTGATGTATGTGCATATTGAACGCTAAATACAAAATTAGTTTTAAATAGAATGTCAAATGCCTTCATGGCATGATTTGGGCATGCTTTAAGTGATTTACTGCTTTAAATATAGAATGAACTTGTAATACACACTATAATGGGCTGTTTATTCTGAGCTGGTCCAAGAGATTCCATGTCTTCTATTCCCTGAAAATAAATTTCTTTATTAAGAATACATCCATTACCTATCTATTAGGACAAGTCAAATACCAATGAGCCATACTAGAAAGTTTATCTTTCCAATTAAAAAATATCGCCAGAAAATTTTTTTTCTTCTTTCAAAAATAAGTAATTCCTAGTAATTTTATTCACATAGAGGTCTTTTGCTTTTAGTTTCTGTAAAAATGCAGTATAAATACATATAGGAATATGTAAATATTATATTGATGCAAATATAAATAGGATAGTCTATCTGTGCGTTGCTTCTTAATGAAAAATGTAATAAATAATGTACATAAAAATGTAAAAAGAACAAACTATATGGAGAATTAGTCTGTCTTTTCCTTATGAAAACAAGTATTATCCCTTCATAATAAACTATTGTTGTTCATAATAAACTATTGTTATTGTAAAGATGTTTGTTCTTGATTTCATGGTCGCTATAGTCTGGCTGGAAGGGTATCTTTTGAATTTCACCTTGAAGGAATTTTTCCATCACTTTACAAGTTAAAAAAAAAAAAAAAAAAAAAATCTATGTTCACTGTATATACATGCATATATATGATTAGTGTCATGCTTTAGATAGGCATCACACATATTACAAACCATCTTATTCTCTCGAAATATTTGCTAGTATGTAGGTGACATTCAAATCAATGCAATTCCAATTCTACAGAACTTAGCTAAATGACCATGCATCATCTGTGGGTACAATAGTCGAAAGCAGCCTGAGAAGATGAATTTTAGCCACATGAGGCCAAATACATTCACTGCTGTAAAATGGCTCATTTTAATATAATCTGCCCTCTTAAAATGAAAGTTAGTGCAAAGCATATCAAAATTCCTCAATACTTACATTTAGCAAATATTAGAAGTGCAGAATTTGGATTTTTTTTTTTTTTTTTTCAAATAACAACCTGATGCTAAAATACTTGCTTTGCCTTTACCCTACAAAAATAAAAATAAAAGTATATATAAAAGACATATACTGGATAAAAATTGCATGTGAAATGTAATAATTAATTGAAACTATATAAATATCACACATGAACCTTTCAAGATAGAATATGTAGCAAATTTCAAAGTATATGCAGCTCAGCTCACTTACATATAGTATCAATAGCTTATTTACATATACATACACTGCAAACTAAAAATATTATCCTATGAAAAGAATTTTATAGCTAAGCATATGAAATTATTTTTTTATGCATAGACTTATGCCAAATATTTACTCATTAATAATGAATAAAACCTTTTTCCCTCTTTCTTTCCAATAATTTTAGCTGAGCAAAAGTTCTGTGAGCAAAACTAATGCTTTTAGGTTTCTATCTATATATATATATATATATATATATACACACGTTTATTACATAATGACTACAAAACTATCATTAAAAAGGCCTTTGGCACTAGAGGCACATGCATTTACCGCTTATCTTTAAGAGCCAGAAGGAAAAAACTATAAGCCATTTAAGAATAAAGACCAATGTGAGTAATAGATGCAAAATTACTTTACTCTAGGTAATTAAAAAGTAAACAAAGAAAAGTTTTAAAGTATTCTATCATTTATAATCCTAATTAAATTCTATCATTTATAATCCTAGTTGAATTTTTAAAGATTTTTACCACTGAAATCAGCAATACTTGGTACCAGAAGATCAGGGCGTTTTGTTTCCACATATTTCAAAATTCTTGGGACATAAAAAGATGAAAACTGTTTTTTTAAATGTCTATCATTAGAAATTGTTTCAGTTTCTATACAATTTCTTACATGGCTATTAGACAAAACCATTTCAATTGTTTTTATGACTGAAACATACTGAAATGTTTCTTTTACAATTTTGGTTTCAAATTGACCTGTTTTTGTATTCAGAGCTTGATCCAATCTACTGCCAAGCATAATTTCGACAGCTTCGATAAAATTCTGACAGCTTTTCAAAGCCTTTATTTGTCCTTTAGTTGCTGACATGCCATCAAAAATCTGCCTAATGGGAAGGATGCCTCCGTGGAGGTCTTTGTAAGGCAAACTGGTTCGTATACACGTTACACATGGAGAAAACCACAAAAAAAGTCCATGCAGCCAGCTCCTTCATGCGATTCAAACTCTGGACCGAACTACCAGTGCTCAGCGACTTTGCCGCTGGTGGGTAATATTTAGGGGATGTGCATTAATGTTCGGAGAAAAAGCATGATATTAAGCATTTGTAAGTAAACAGCCTGTTAAACATGGTATTTAGGGCATATAAATTAAAATGAGCGCAGGGGCGTAGCTAGAGGGGGCAAGGGGCATCTGTCCCCGGGCGCAGGATCCAAAGGGCGCCAAACTGATGTTACGGCATTTTAGAATTAAATGTTTTCCATCCTTGGGAAGCAGTAGGGGGCGCGAAATCTTCAGTTGTCCCTGGGCGCTGAAAACCCTAGGTACGACTCTGAATGAGCAGCAAGAAATATAATATTAAGCATACGTAAGTAAAATTTACATAAAGTAAATATTAGTTACTGAAATCAATTTGGCCTTCCCCCATTTTCTCAAAATTGTTCCAAAAACTGTTCCGTTAAGAAAATTTTCGGCAACATATTATCTTAGAAGGAAACATTCTTTAAACGCAATTTAATAGTTCTTTGACTGTATCTCAACCATTATGCTTAATTTCATGCCGAGACAAGTACTCGAGTATGCAGTTTTGTAAATTTTCTTTGCAAACACTTTAAAATCACTTTTAGGAAACATAGCACGGAAATCAGACAAAATAATAATAAATTGAGAAAAAATGACACATGCAAATAAATTTTGAACAGCAGCGAAAGAAAGCGAGGAGGCCGCAAGAGAATTCTACCAGCTTTGTGCTTTTGCAGCGTTTACATTTACTGGATTCTTTGCGGTAGTGTTTTCGAAGGCAGGTGGAAGGATGGTAACTTTGAACTTCTGCAGTTCATAAAATTTCAGAATGCAGTTCCAAATACTGATATACATCTGTAAATTTTTTTCATGACTGTTGCGAGAAGAATTTTGCAAAGTACAAATGGATTAAAAAAAAACACCTAAGACTGAGAAATTGTACCATACTGTCTACAAATCAGCTGATAGAGTAGTAAATCAAACTTTTAGAATACTATTAATGATTTTGTGTATAAGGAAAACAAACAAAATAGTACTTTACGGTATTAGAATTAATGTTTTATTTCAAAAAATAAACCCAGATATTTTGTTTTTATATATATCATTTTGACATTTTATAGACTTTTTATTGTGCACTGAGCGAAGCAGCAAGAACTCTGGCTACACCTCTAACAGTGTTCGCATAACTTAGTTATTGAAAATGTAAACAAGCTGTGTTACCTGGGTCTTTAAATCCTATCTAAACCAGAAAATGAATTCATATGAGTTTATTAAGATCAGGTTACTTACATTTTTTTTTCCTACTTTAAAGGACTGTGGATAAGAAAAGGTTTATAAGACTTGTTTGATACAACAATAGCTTTTGCTAATGTAAACAATTATATTATTTTGAACATTACTTCATCAGATCCTCACTCATTTTAATATCACTAGGAGAAGATATAATAACTAATTGAGATGAAAAGGCAATAATCTTGAAAAGTAATAAGTAAATGTCATTAGTTTAACTTTCTAACTATTGAGTTGATGTATATGAATTAATCTATGAATCATTTTAGAATTATCATGTTTAAATTAGTATATATTTCGACAATTTTGAAAGTATGCCTGACAAGTTTTCTTAGAAGGGGGGAAATAAATAAATAAAAATAACCCGTCGAATTAGGTTTTCTCCCGCAATAGAAGGGAGGGGAAGCTGTTTTTTAATTGTGCATTCTATTATCTGTTAATAAAATAAGTTAATTTTTTTTAATATGATAGGCGCTGCCACAAATATAAGGCAATATTGCTTAATTTTCATATTATAAAATAAAAATGCATCAAACATTTAGGTTTTATGGCTTACATATAAAAAGTCGTTTTGTTTCAGTTGAAATAAAAATGTTTAGACATAAACGAATTTTACTATTTAATTAAGTCTGAAAAAAACATGCCTTACATTTTTTAGAAATAAATACTGTTTTTTTTTTTTTAATTTTCTTATTTGCATTAAAAGAAATAAACATTTGGTGTACATATTATATATTGGCATATACGTATATTTGTCAGTAAATACATATTTAGCATAAAATAAATACATGTATATAGCATATAAAGTCAACTGAATATCTGGAATTTTCAAAAATCCGGACTAGGTATAGTTTTTAATTTAAAACAGAGTAGAAAATAAAATTACCTTTTAGGACATTAACAGCATCTTCGGGAACTTCTTGCAGTTATAAAAATCTGATAATTTTGAACTATCATGTAACGCCTCCTGAAAAAAAGTATTTTATTGTGCTACAGTTTAAAAAAAAGACAAGGGGCAGATAAATTTGACAATTTGCTGTGGCACAAGTATTAGGAATATAGAACCTATGTAGAATGGGACAAGGTACTAAAATTTTTATGCTTGGTCTTTGATTGAAAATGAATTCTCATTAAATAGTTATCTGCATGAATTACCTGGAATATTTAATAATACAATAGTTTTCAGTTTGTCATCAGAAAATCAAAACTTATTATTTTTTTTAAATAGCTGGGTTTTTTTTTAGTCCAAAGGGGCAATTCTCCCAGAAGGACTGTTAATTTCGTTTTGGCATTTTGCATATATTTTGCATTTTGCATATTCCCGATATGTTTCATTTCAAATTGCTGCCACCAAACATTATATTTAAAGAAATTAAATAATGAAGAATCTGCATGAATCTATGTATGTTTTCTCGCATTGTAATAAAACAACGGTACCTAGAGCCAACAAAATTTGAATAAGGTAATCTTCCATAAATATGGGCATGTGGAAGCCCTAATTTGAATTTGAAATTGGTTTTATTATTTGCTTTATTATTAATATTTTGTAATACTTCACGAATTTTTGATTAACAAAGTAAACAAGTAAACGATTTCAAAGCGAGCAATGGCAAGACTGAACGAGTAAAAAAAATATATATATATATATATCTCCAGCTCGCGAGACTCTGTATTGGAAATTCTAAAGATATGTTCATTTTAAAATTATTTGGCGAGATTGCTGTTGAATGTTTTTATGGTTTAAGTGCGAAGAACGTGATATTTAATAAATAAAGGTAACACACAATGTTAAAAAAGCCCCTTTGGACGTAATTTAAAATCTGAAGCTTTCAGTCTTTTTTAAAGAATGCAATATTTTGCATTTTGCATATTCCCATATGTTTCATTTCAAATTGCTGCACCAAACATTATATTTAAAGAAATTAATAATGAAGAATCTGCATGAATCTATGTATGTTTCTCGCATTGTAATAAAACACGGTACCTAGAGCCAACAAAATTTGAATAAGGTAATCTTCCATAGAATATGGGCATGTGGAAGCCCTAATTTGAATTTGAAATTGGTTTTATTATTTGCTTTATTTTTTAATATTTGTAATACTTCAACGAATTTTTGATTAACAAAGTAAAAAGTAAACGATTTCAAAGCGAGCAATGGCAAGACTGTACGAGTAAAAAAAAATATATATATCTCCAGCTCGCGAGACTCTGTATTGGAAATTCTAAAGATATGTTCATTTTAAAATTATTTTGCGAGATTGCTGTTGAATGTTTTTATGGTTTAAGTGCGAAGAACGTGATATTTAATAAATAAAGGTAACACACAAAATGTTAAAAAAATGCCCCTTTGGACGTAATTTAAAATCTGAAGCTTTCAGTCTTTTTTAAAGAATGCAAGATTTTTTTTAAATCGTAAACGGAAAGCCGTCTTAGCAGCTTTATTGGCCTCCCGGACTTTTGAATGTTCAAGAGGCCTTAGTTACACCTACACTCTCGAGAATAACAACATATTTGCAAAAATATAAGTTTTAGAATGCTGATATGACCCAGGTAGTGCTAGTATTTATATTTTGGAAAAATTCAGTAAGTGAATTTTGCAACAGTAAGTGAATTTTATTGTCACAAACTATAATAACTATAATATATAACTATAATATATAACTATAAGCTTATAGTTAATATTATAATAACTATAATTATAACTATAAGCAGAATTTATAAAAAATGAAAGTTAAAAATCTATTAAAAACTACTAGAAGCTGAAAACGATATGAGTTCAATAGGAAATTCAGTAAAGTATACGGTTTTTATTTATTTCTTCCAATACTACCAAATAATTTACACACTTGTGTTATAAAAAAAAAATCAAAACTTTAGTATGCATTTTTTTTTTTCCCACCGCTGTTCTTCCTATTTGAAATAGGAATGCATGCAAAACTAAATTTAAATAATTAAATTCGATAGCTTTGTGTAAATTGTTCAAAAATAAAAATAATGTTAAGAATTATTTACAAAAAGTACCATCCATACGTACAGCTTTCATTGTGTTAGCAGTACGTAATAAATAAAACTACGTTACAGCATTACACTCTTAAAGCAAATTTACAGACACCTAAAAAAAAGAGCAAACTAACTATAATTTATAATAATTAAGATATTTATATTAAGAAATAATTGTATATATATTTTAAAAGCGAACTTACTTTTGGCAAAGGAGCTTTACGACTGTCCTCGCTTGAAATGGCGCTTAGCCAAAGAACGTTCTTTGGCTTAGCAAACTTGTTTGGTCAGTCTGGGTGGACGATGACAAGACAGGGTTCGTCCTGCTCCTTCAATTCACTCACTTCCCCAAGGTTATTATTGCAAGTGGGAAACATGTTCTGCTACCAAGACAGTAAATTTGCGTTGTTTGACACGAAACGGAGCGAAAACTGCTGTCACCCTCCAAATCCCACTCTGCGAAATTTAGAGTGTAATCATTCTTGGAGTCAAATTTCTTGCTGTCGCCATTCTACTCAAAGCGGAGTGGTCTGTGAACATTGAGACAGGCTGCTTGAAATATCTGTGAGCACTTCGAATTCAGTTACGGAGTAGAATTAAATTAACCACTTTATCAATTATCCCCGAGACAAATTCGTTGGCGTTAAATGTGGACTGGATCGTTACACCCGAGAAAGACTCGTCCCTTTGTGTTTTTTGACTCTCCCAGAAAGTGGTGAAAATGAAAAAGAAGAGATTTATGGCCTAATTAATCACACTCTTTCCAGAATCACACAAAGTTAGGTTCGCTTAAGAAGATGGGAAATATTAATACACTTCCACTTACGTTTTGAGCTAGCACTACAATGAGAGATAGTGCTCGTTTTAAAGCATGTCTCTACGAGATCGTCTTCGCTAATTATAAGAAAAGAGACTATGAAATGCAGAATTTTTTCCTCCTGGGTAGAGTATGGGTTCCAACATAAATAGTTGAAAGGAATGGAGGAACGGAGGAATACTAAAAATAGGGTACCGCATGCCTGCCTTGCATTAAAACCGCTCCTACTGACTCATTTCAGGGGTTCATGAACATTTGTAACAGTTTTTCGAGATCTGGAACTTTGACTATTGAGAAAGCTGTTGAAGCCTGATGACCATTTAAATTTGACATCTCTTCCTTTTAGAAAGGGTTCTGCAATGCCTACGAAGTTTGTTACAGAGCCTCGAACGAACGGAAGAACGGATGGATTGATGGAATGGACAGATAAATGAATGGATGGAATGGATGGATACTCCACCAATGGGCGAGTGGTTACGATTGCTGAATTCTGACAGCTCTACTCGGGCCCCAACTTATGTGAAAGGGCTTGCCGAAGTTCAAATCCGCGTAGCTCTCTTCCGCTTTTCGAATGCGAACTGGAATTTTCATATCAGTCTCAAGTACTTTAGGAGGAATCTCAAGCTGTCCTTAAAAAACAAAACATCATCAGGATGGAAGCAACTCTACCATCATTTTATGATTGTTAAATAGTTATAACTGTGATATTCAATAACATGCATCTATTCCGGCATATCTTCAGTACTGCTCATGAGCCTTTATGGAGCCATAACACTTTTTTTGTTTTAAACACATAATTTCCACTATACTCCATTCACATTAATCGCTTCATCGTCCTAGAGATATTTGCTATTTTTTCCCACCAAAGATAAACGTTTTGCTTGCGAAATTGGAAGACAGAAATGTTTCTTTCCTCATTTCACCAGTGTTAAGACCTATTTAGAAAACATCCTACGTTTCGAACTCAAGGATGTTGGAACCCATACTCTACCCAGGAGGAAAAAATTCTGCATTCCATAGTCTCTTTTCTGAAAATTAGCGAAGACGATCTCGTAGAGACATGCTTTAAAACGAGCAGTATCTCTCATTGTAGTGCTAGCTCAAAACGTAAGTGGAAGTGTATTAATATTTCCCATCTTCTTAAGCGAACCTAACTTTGTGTGATTCTGAAAAGAGTGTGATTAATTAGGCCATAAATCTCTTTTTTTTCATTTTCGCCACTTTCTGGGAGAGTCACAAAACACGAAGGGACGAGTCTTTCTCGGATGTAACGATCCAGTCCACATTTAACGCCACCGAGTTTGTCTCGGGGATAATTGATAAAGTGGTTAATAATTTACTCGTTTTCTTAAATAGTGCAAGATTCGTTTTCTATGTGTACTATATTCTTTTCCCATTTAATGCCATAATACTTTTAAATACTTTTTGCAGCCTAAAACTATTGTCCATGCTCAATAATTATTGAATGGGTACAATCAACAACAAAGCTGATAACAAAGAAATATGCTTCCATTTTTTTAATAGTTTCTTTCTAATTTGTAGCTAATTTTATAATTATATATGTCATAATAAAAGCACAAAGAAAAGACGGAGCAGTGTCGATGCGTGATTAGATCCATATTGAAGAAGAATTTTGATTGCGTAGAAGAATTTGGCAGTCAAGGCAATTTTAATTCCATTTTTATTGCCAATTGATATTTGTGGCCACAATCACTTGGCACTCTAATCGTGCCTTTCCACACAAGATTTACATTTTTATATTTGTTAAGAAGAAACAAGCCACGAAATTACATCTTTATAAGGATTTTAGAACAGAGGAATGAATTATTAATGTTAATTATTTATAATAATTCTGATTCATACATTTTTATCTTACATATATATGTTAAATTTCTTCTGCAGTATGCAGTGTATTATTATGGCACAACACAAGACTGCTCTGGGTAAATAATGTTAAAGTGATACACACATGCTGTAAAAAATAAATCACGCAAAAGGCATTATATTATTGTGCATAGTCTGGAAACTTCATATGTTTTTCATTCAGCCAATTATTTATAGCTATTTTAAATTAACACACATTCGTAGTTTAACATTTGGAGAATTAACACACATGCTCTAACACCAAAAATCCGCCACACGCATGCTAAACAATATTAGAATAGGATCTGTACACTATCGTATTCACACACTTTTGAGTCAAACTCTGCGTACTTCTTTTCAAATAAATTATTAATAAATTGCGGTCCATTATCTGATATTATTTTGAGTGCGGCTCTGAACTTTAAAGTGTTCTTTTTTTTAAATGCGTCCGTGACTGAATTTGCTAACGCTAGACACACTGATATTATTCACACGATTTTAAAAAATGGCCTACCATCACTAACAAAAATGTACTTTAGTAACCTGGCTTTTTAGGGTAAAGGACTAACAAATGTATTCCGGGAATTTCATTTGGTAATCTTGATCTTGTACGATTATTCAGTGGAATAATCGTGTAAGTGGAATATACCGCTAGTTTGGCTAAAACTTGCCCTTGAATGGCGGATGCACTTACCATTCGTGTTATTTCTAGAGAAAAGACGTTAATGTTAGAGAACACTGAAAGTCACTAGTTTTAACTTTAGAGGTCACTGAAAGTCACTAGCTTTACTGTTAGAGATAACGACCAAAATGTGCGTTTTGCAATGCACAATATTGCATAATTATTGCTAACATTATTAAGAGCAACACAAATCGCATGCCTTATAATATTTTACCTCTTTTTAATGTTGAGTAAGAATTTCTTTCCAATTATTTTCAAATGGTCTTTGGGCTTTTATTTTGGTTTTCTGCTAGATAACGTTAATTATGTTCTTTCTTTACGAAATTATCTATAATTTCCTGTCAAAGTAACTGAAAGACTCTGTTGAAAACTCTTCGTAGTATGTTATTTCAATAATAAAATTATTTCCCCTCTTAGTTTACATATCATTATTAAGGGAAAACGAGAGTCAGTAAATGCACCATAATTAAAAATGAAAGAAGTACTGTAATTAAACAAAAAACTTCATGGTCCAGAATAAACGATAATAAGCCTCAATTATCTCTTCCTCAAAGTAAACAGGTTTTTAATCTTGAAATATTGAAACATATTTTAGTGTATCACAATACGTAGCATGCAAAATTATTTAAACTATTAAAAGAAAGTAGTTATGCTAAATTCGTTTTGTTAATTATGTATTGCAATACGTCACATAGATAGTTCAAATGGTAAGAAAGAAATCAGCAATTTTTGAAGATAACTGAAACTTTTAAGCAACGAAAAAGAAAATTTCAATATTTAAGTCTACTTGAAAGTCTACCTGCCAGCGGCTACCGACATATTTTGATGATCTGAGAAAATTTTAATGGCGTCTAGGATAACAATTATATTTGATCTCATAATGTAATCAGATAATGTAACCTACATTATCAACAATAGTGTAGTTACAGTTGTATCTAATAGTTGTTACAAATAATTTCAAGAGAAAGAATTATTGATAATTAATTATTGGAATGATTTTGCATAATCCAGAAATCATTGTGCATGATCTATTTTTTTCTTTTGTTTAATGTAACTCTCGCATTAATAACATTTACATCAACAATGATTATTGTCTCTCTTAGCAATGTTTCACCACTCTTGCTTACTTTAATCCTATTGACTTACTAAATCCTATTGACTCGTGTCTTCATGTAGAGTCAATAGGATAAGCAGGAGACACGAAAAATGAGCAATATCCTTGCAGAGACTCGAACCAGAACCTCTTGACTATGCGCCAAGTGTGCTACCGTTACACAACGAAGGCATGCAGAAAGGAGGTAGAAAATACCTTATATACTCCCCCTTTTAAAGGGCGCCTAGTAACTCGATCCTCACTGATAGTATTTACAAAATTGATTTACAAAAATGATCATATTTACAAAAATGATTTGTAACGTGGGAACATCCCGCCTGTTTCTAATGCAATATATAATGTCCTGAAACATGTTGCCTGTACCCACTACAATAGCTAACATCTTCAAAATATGCACCTGCACAACTATGTATTTCACAATGTATATCATGAAATTCAATCCTTTTTACTTGAGCTAATTTAACGCTGAAAGGTAGGAGTACCGTTGATGCCGCCGCCGGTGGCAGTACTCACTGGAAGTCACATTTTCCATCACGACTCGAGGAATGATGCCAGAATGTTGTTAGTCTATTTTTGAACTTGGCGGTTCCCGATGGTCCATGGGGTAAGTCTATACTTGCTCTTCATGGGCCGGGAGGTGTTAGTCCCCTCCATCAGGGTTTTGGTAGCCAAATAGCAAATTGGACCATTGAGAGTCTGGTCACTGCTGTCCTTGGTATTCCATGTAAAGCCTAAGGAGAGGG